CGCTCTTCCAATAAAGACATGAAGAAAAAAAAATATAAGCCGATTTAGTTTTATAATTACATTCCACTTTATGATAAAAAGTAATTGGCAAATTTTTACAAGATACAAGCAACAATTTATCTGGTGCTTAACCTATGATTATATTGAAGGGAAGGGGGTTGTTTCTTCAACTGTTCTCGTGTTTGTTAAGAGGGTGTGGCAGGTCTCTTTCTTCCCAAACTCTGGAACATGATCGTCCTTGAGGTTGATTTACATTGCATGATGGCCAGCCTAAATCATGGTTCCTGCAAAATCATCAGACAGAAAGAAAAAAGAAATGTTTGGAGATGCTGACATTTGTGAAACTTAAATTCATGCTTGTGTGTGTAAATACGCAGCTTTGGCCTAACCTTCCTATTAGACCCTAAACTACTGAAGGAAGAAAAAAATATGTCAATATACAGTTTGGGCCTAACCTTCATATGAGACCTGACTAGATCAAGCATGATTAGGTGAACACAAGTAAATTTGGCTATACGATATGACTCAAATCATATCATTCATCATCTGAGTGTCTGTTTCATGTATTTCAGAGCAGACCGCAACATTGCCCTGGCTTTCCTATCTGGAGTGCATCTAGACAGAATCATTTCTTCATACACAGCTGGAACCTGAAACCAAACAACGCAACCCATGTTGAAATATACCAAACATCCTCAGATACTGGAATTATCTAACACGTATATAAGTCACATGGCAATATGTACAATTAAAACTTTATATTAATGCAATAAGAAATGGAGGCACCACAAAAACTGAAGGCCTATTATGCATACAAAATGCAGAGGTCATCTATGATAATGGACATTATACAAGATTCATATACCTTGTAAAATTTATCAACACGGATAAGGGTTTTCATAAGTGTAGTATATGTAACTACATCTGGTTTCAGGTCCTGCAGTTATAAGGAAGCAAGTGAATTGTAATAAAATGGCAAGATCAAATGTACCACTTTGTGCAGTAATAATAAATTAGAAACTGTGAAAAACATTAGAAATTAACTTACATTTTCCTTCATGTACTGCAACACAGAAAAGGCCTCAGCATCCCTTCTATCTTCACCAAATGCATTGATTAATGAATTGAGAGCTAAGAGACTGGGTTTTAAGCCATCTGCTCTCATGACCCTAAATGCATTCAGTGCTTGCTCAGACAAACCCTGTCAAACATTCACATGGAAGATCAAAAAAATGCTCTACCATCACACTCATGATAAGACTATCCAATTCATTATCAGAGATCCAAATAGAAAGATAAAACGGTAGTTTGAATTGAAGTAATGAGAAAAGCTTTCTGGTTGGAAATTAATCAGCATATCTAAAGCTTCAGCAGTCCAAATATAAGTAAATAAATGGTATATTCAGCAATATTTTTTAACTTCGTCACTGGTAGTACTGAGGACAGGTTTGAGATTGTGTCAAAGCTAAAAACTGAGGGAGTGCAACTTTCTCAAATGGTAGGAGAATCCACTTGAAGCTGGTCATGTCATTACGAATAGATATGACACTGAATAAAAAAATTTGCCATATGATGGTTTCAATTCACAGAATAATGTTTTTTCAGAAAGAAAAAAAGAAGAAGAAGAAAGATCAATTGTATAATGCAAGGGAAAAGTGAAGGTAAAATCACCTAGGATAAAATGGTTATATGCTTGACATATTCCAGTATTCTACATTCTGAGAAATGCCAGCAAGTGTAATGTAACTCAAGTGAGGAGGGTGCATAATGAAATTACATAAGGTGTGTCAGAAGTGTAGAGAATACAACTTACTCTTTGTGCATAGGCATTAATTAAGGCATTGTACATAGTCGGGGATGGTTTCAAGCCTGCAGACTTCATGACCTCCAAGCACTCTATTGCATCATTAAATCTCCCCGACTTTCCATAAATATCAACTAGGGTGGTATAGGTAACTATGTTGGGCAGTAAACCCTGAGCCTGCATCTTCCCCAACAAGCCCTTCACCTCAACCCATCTCTGCTGCTCCCCAAAGGAATTTATCATGATGTTATAGGTGGTGGCGCAAGGGGCGCACCCACTTTGGTGCATTTCCTCAAATAATTCCTCTGCCCTTTTATGGTGGCCTGACTTGCAATGACAATCTATAAGCGTATTCCAGGTGACGGTGTCGGGTTGAATTCCCTCGGATAGCATCCTTTCAAAGGTAGCCATAACATGATCAAGACAGTTAGACTTTCCAAATGTGTCAATCATGACATTGTAAAAATGCCTGTCGGGTCTTACCCCGCTGCTCTTCATCTCCCTCAATACTTGGAACGACTTTTGCCACTCTCCTCTATCACGGTAGCTGGCTAAGATCCTACTGAAAACGTAGGAATTAGGCTGCACATTGCTGGCTTCCATCTCTTTCAGCACAATTCTTGCGCTTTCCCACCTCCCTGCATTCGCATATGCATCAATGAGCAGGCTGTATGTGTGCTCATCGGGTGAAATGCCGCTCTTCTCCATCTGAGACACGATGGATTCGGCGTCTTTCAATTGAGCAGCCTTTACATAGCCTTTGAGCAGGGCATTGTAAGCCCTGGTCCTGGGCTGCAATCCTCCTTCTTTCATCTCCTCGAAGATAGCTTCGGCTTCAACCACCCTACCGCAATTCCCCAGGGCGGAGATGAGGGCAACCAGAGTGGCAGTTTTGGGGCTCAAGCCAGTGGCCTGGACCATGGCGAGCAGATGCATAGCCTGCGTGGGCTCACCGGCTTTTGCGAAACCAGCAATGATGTCGTTGTAGAGCTGGCCATCAATCTCAATGCTCTCCGACTCAATCTCCCGGTAGAGCTTGAGCATAATGGGGGAATCAATCTTGTTGGAGCGGGAGAGGGATTGAATGATCAAGCTGTAATTGACGAAGTCGGAGCGATAACCGTCTCGGCGCATGCGGGACATCAAATGGAGGGCCTTCTCGAGGTCGCCGTTGCGGGCACAAGCGCCGATGAGAGCATTGTAGGTGAGCGGTGTTAAGGATTGTCGCTGGGAGAGCAAGAAAGCCTCGTAGAGTTTCTCGGAGCGGCCGAGGGCGTGGATGAGGATGGAGTAGAGGAGTTCGTAGGAGAAGCAGAGGTTGTGCTTTTGGAGCCAGGAAACGACGGCGTAGGCTAGTTGTATGTCGGAGGAGGAGGAGGAGCAGAGAGATTTGAGGAGGGAGTGCCAGAGTGGGGAGGGCACGGCCCGGTACGACTCGGCCAGCTGGAACTCGGCTGGGTCGAGTGAGGTTGGGGAGGAGGCGGAAGATGACATTGACATTGACTTGGCGGCGAGGAAGGTGAGGAGGGGGCCGAAGTCATAGCGGGAAACGGCAGCTTGGTGGTCGTCAAAAGAGCGCCGTCTTGAGTTTGAGGTTGAGGTTGAGGATGGAATTGGGGGTAGATGGGCTTGGGATGAGTTGGTAACGGCAGCGGCTGTGGTGGCGGACAGAGACCACAAATGGAACATATGGTGGTGGTGGTGGTGGCGGATGAGTATTGGAGAAGCCAATTGAAAGGAAGGGAAGCAAGTCGTCCCTGGTACTGGAACCGGAAGAAGAAGCATGTTTGTTTGTTGATAATATTTGACTGCTTGCTTGCTTTACTGAGAGACTATCTAATATCTGTCTGTCTCTGTGTTAAGCCAGACAACCCCGCCCAACTAGCATACTATTTTATCGGTTTCGTTTCTGGCTCTGGGGATAGTTTTAGTGGAGGGAAGGCGAAGAAGAACAATAGCCAGCCAACAAGACATACTTGATAGTAAGTAAGTACACTAAACGGAGGAGGGCCTATCCTCTGTTTTCCGGAACAGGGATCTGCTTTCCCCGTATCAATCCTTCACCTGCCACGTAAGCTTTATAAGATTCCTTTTGTACTCGGGCGCTATGTTGCATGGACACGGGTACAGGGACACGGGAACGCGACACGGGGACACGGCGACACAGAAAATCCCAAAAAATTAAGACACGGGTACGGCTAGGACACGGCAATTAAAATAATAATTTATTCTTAATACTTCAATGTCACATAATTTCATAAGATAAAACAAATAACTCATGTTCATCATCCATACATAATAATTAATAGACCACAAAATAAAACATAAATTATCTAACTCTGAATTTTCTTCAAGCATCTATGTCTTCATTGTTATTGTTATTATTTGTTGTGTTTCTCTTTAAAAAAAACATAAGAAAGAATTGTCACCTCACCACCAAGTCCAACTCTTCTACTGTTGTGGAGGGAGATAAGAAAAGAAAATAGAGAACATAAATAAATGCATCTTAAAATAGAGAAGAAAAAAAATTGCAAAGAGAGTTACCTTGTGCAAAACCAGGAGAAGGGGAGGAGAAGAGCTGTGATGGAGGAAATGAACTTTGGCAGCAGAAAAAAGTGAGATTTAGGTATAAAAAAGTCTTTTCCCACTTTTAGCCTCTATTTTTAAAAATATTTCAAATCAGTCCACCAAAAGTTTCAAAAATCACGTTTAGACCTCAGATTTTATTTTGAAAATTTCAAACTGGTCCCTGCCGTGTCTTGACCGTGTCGGAGCCGTGTCTTGACCGTGTCCCAACCGTTGACCGTGTCCAATGCGTGTCGGGGGCGTGTCGGAGCCATGTCGGATGTCGGCATGTCCGACACTCCGACACTCCAGCAGTTTGGAGTGTCCGTGCAACATAGCTGTGTCCGTGCAACATAGCTCGAGCGTGCTTCTTGCGGAACCACTCGATGAAGTTGGATTATTTTCGAAAATCTCGCACTCGCAGTATAAAAATGCTTCGCCTTCGAACTTTTTAAACCCTTCCTCACCCCCTCACCCTTGCTTGCTTGCTGTCCATCAGGCTTAGGGTTTCTCTGCAACAGTCGCTTTGCGAGCTCAATTCAACGAGCACCATAAGGCGCTATTCCTTCAAATCTACGTGTCGCCTCCCCAAAGAGAAACTTGAGGTTCTATCTTTCAGTTCTTTTTCTTTTTCTGTTCTTTCTAAATACCACTGCAAGCAAGGCAAGGCAAGGCAACTGAACGGGTTTTAAATTTGAGCGAGAGTGTCGTTGCCGCTTCAGATAAGGGTAGGTAGGATCATTGCATTTTCAATTTTAGATTTGAAATTGGATGTTTTGTGTTGATATTAGAGTTATTAGCACTCTTGCTAGATTTCCAAAGTATCTAACTCAATTTATTCTTTAGATATTGAGATTTGAAACCACCTCGTGGACATGGAGCCTGCGATCATGTATGGAAATGGCCATTACCCCGCTTATTCTGACACCAAACTTGTGTTTGAGTTGAGTTGTAGCTTGCTCAATGCTGATAGATACATCAGCGCTGTTGTTGTTGTGGCTTCAGCAAGCTCTACATCTGAAGAGTCCGACTACATTGACTCAGTGGGAAGTCAATGTCCTTCTGTATTTAGGTCTCTTGGTTTCGTGTTCATTTGAACTACAGGCTACAGCTAGGTATAGGCTTTCACATTTGATTATTATAGCATTGTATTTAGGTCTCCCTTCCTGTATCCAACTCTTCTATTATCGGATCATAATTATTATATTTGGATTCAGGTTGAGTCTGATGATGATGATCACGACGAGCCATGGCCTCCCAAGCTTTGAGAAAGACACTGAGCGAAGCCCCATCCAGGAGCATGTGTGAAACGGTGGCAGCAATGGCTAAGCAACTGGAGTGGGAGTATCCCATGTTCTTGGAGATGGAAGAAATTTTGAGATTAATGAGAGATTAGGACTGTTGAGAAAGTGATTCAAATGGGAGTCAGTGCGGGCCTCAATATAGTAAGCTCCTTGGTCGTTGCAACTTGCAATCTATGGAAAGGTGGCCCTTGATCTTTCCTGCAAGAGGGTAAAAATGGGTTGAAGTTTTAGACACAGACTGCTTTAGCAGCAGCAGCAGTTGCCATCTTTTATCATCCGCCATCTCCAGTATAGGATTGGGATTGGGATTGGGATAATAGAGGAGCATGGGGAGATAGACGAGAGGTGCGAACTGGTCCACAAGAGACAGATTGTATATATAGCATGGCATCTAGCTGCTGCTAAGCGCTAACGCTCGCTCCACCGTAGTTTCATGTACCCGCAAAATCTTTATTAACTTTCCCCCTTGCAGCCATAATCTCCTATTAAACTACCTGTCACATTAATGCAATTTTTTATTCTTCATCAGTATGGTTAAATATATATATATTTTTATATATGGCTTAAAAGCTAATAGCCGAAAAAAAAAAATTATGGTTAAAAATAAATAGGACAAAAGTCTTTAAGTTTATTGCTAGAAAAAATTGTTGTTGGGGCTTATGCTAAAATTCCCCAGCCCACCACCTAATTGGTGTCTGGTCATCTTTCTATTGGACCCTCATCTACTTCCAGATTCTAAAGGCACACTCACAGACTAAGTAGTTGATCTAGTATCACCATTAGCCAGGCCTTATGGAGCCTTGTGATTCATGAACTTGTGCCACTATATTGAATTTGAAATTCCACGACGAGTAATTGTAATTAAACATTTTCTCCTGGAGGCAATTCTGCGAGCTTTGGAGGAGTCCCAAGTACTCTTTCCATATCAAAACGAACTTCAATATTGCGAATGCTGTATCCCACAACCATCAGCCAATACAGCAGCTTGGCAAGTTCCGGTGCACTTGTCTCTGTTACACTTGTCTGCAGCAACAATTCAGCAAGCTTAGGTTATATTCAATTTAAGTGATTCAAGACAACTTAACTTGATTAGAACAAACATCACTGATTTTGAGAATAAATAATATGAGATGCTCGGCTTCAGTTCATGACATAAATTGACTTCGATCCAGGGTGCATGTAAAACAGTTACTCTAGTTTTCAAGTTATTCCCCTCCAACAGTCCAACCCCACTGCCCCCCACAGCGACTCTATTTCACCTTCTTTTTTTTTTCAGTACATAACATATTATGATATAAAGAAAATTTCGGAAAATACTTCACTGAAACTTCAACCAGAATCTAAATACAGCTCATTGCTAAAGGCAAACCTTCATTTGGCCAGGATCTGAAACAGCCAAAAGCCGCTTGATGAATGTATTCATTGCAACCACAACATCGTCTCCAGCACTGCTCGTCAACTCCTACAAATTTGAACACATTTAACCAGAGGTCACAAAGAGATTTATGGCCCCTTCAATACTAATATACAAGCAATAATAGCTGATTCTCATGACATGAAACAGAGCACAGTTCACATTATTCCGCTACCATATCCTGGGGACAATGCCCCAACTGACTAGTAGCAGGTAGAATCTTCCCAATCAGTTTTACCTCGAACAATAACAGTAATAATAATAGTGCTCGTCTTGAGATATTCCAACAAAAAGCACCTAGCCTTTAGCCACAAAAGAACCATTCCTCGGCTACCAGCCACGCACCTAGCATCTAACCAATAAAAAGCAGTTCAGATAAACAGAGGGGAAGTTGTTTACCTTTAAATTTTGGGGCTCAAGAGACTTGAGATACTCCAACAGTTCATTTTGTCCACTCGCAGATTTCCTCCCAACTTGATGATTTAGTTCCTCAATCTCTGCTTCAAGTAACTCAATGTACTTCTTAGCATCTATTCTCTCAGGGCCAGAAACATTATTCCACCTAATAACTTCACCTGACACATTCTTCTGTGTCCCAGGTGCATAATCTGCTGCATCCTGTAAGTCACAGGGTACCAATTAAAGGTTGTACAGAGGAACCTCTCGAAAATAAAACAGAAGCCTCAAAATGAGTGAGTGAACAACATAACTAAATGAAAAAAAAAATTTGAAAAAAAAGATTTATTGTTTACAGCTTTATGAATTTTCATTGACAAAAACTGCCTTAATTAGAACACCAATAGCTAAAAGTGCACAGCTTTGAAGATTACATCTCCATTAAGAATCATTGGAATTTCACAAGCTCTGCAATTTACTTAAAGATACGGTACTTTCCACGTTAGTAAGACAAGGGTCAGATAATTAGGAGTGGCATTATAGCCTAATCTAAATGCCATCAGAAAATACAAAACAACTACATGGTAAAGAAAAGCCTTCCCAAAGCACACAGGTCCGAGAGGTAATGTCTGAAAGTGTGGCCACCACAAGGTTTCTCCTCAGCAAATGGTGATGTAGCAAAAGGTTTCCGCAACCACCCAAGGGATAAGAACGTTCATAAATATAAACTGAAAGATATGAAGGGAAAAAATATTACCTTTTTATCTTGCACATCAGGAAGAGCAACTGGCTCTAAACCTTGCTGGAGTTCCAACCTGTACTGTGCATTCTGAAACATATATCCAGTCATCATGATACTGTACATGAGTTGTGCAAGATTTTCCGCAACCTGAAATGGAAGTCAACCAATCCCACTGAATATATAAATTACTTAAACACAACTATTATGAAAACATGCACAAAAGATTTGCATCAGTAAATCAGTCAGCCACCAAGTATAGAGAACCCATCAGATCGTATGATACTCATGCTGCGAATATTAAAAGCTATATACTTACGGTGGTGACTGTGACTGCAAAAAATTGTGGGGGTAGAGTTCCAATCATGTTTGTGACTGTTTGGCGCATTGCATCAACCACCTACATGAGTAACCGTGAAAAGTGGTTTGATTTCAGCCGATTAGTCATGGAAATAGAAATCCATAGCCTCTATCTTTGCATTAGTCAAACAGATATTTTATTCATTTTAATGGGTTTGTGCCGAAGACGTATAAAATACCTGCTGGGGTGCCCTTTTTACAAAGAGCTCCATGAATTCTGGCTGCACATTTTTGACATATTCCAAAAGAATTTCTCTCCTGCTCTTTGGCTGTTGAGTTCAAGAAATTTAGTCAATCATATGAGTTGGGTTGGCAACAATATATGTGTTTCAACTAGACAATGGGTCTACTTTAGTAAGATTAACAATTGAGAAAAGAGAGAGGGAGGCATCTAGCAGGCCAATTGGGAGAGATAAAGAAATACCAGAGTGCCGTTGGGAGGCTTGGAATCGCCAGACGCATTGGGACTGTCGCTCTTTGAAGACTCGTAAGCGTGAATTCTCAACCTGCTTCCTCTGTTTTTCGTCTTTATTCGGAAGGTAACCGAAGAAGAACACGACCCAGCCCAAAAATGTACAGAAGAAGAAGAAGCCGACGAAGAAGAAGTAGAAAATTTTGGTAAAAAGAAAGAGGGCTTCACCGTCAACGAATACATGTTAGTTAGCATAGCAGCCTCCACAGAACCCAATAAACTTGGAAAACCCAAAACTAAGGGATTTACTAATTCCTTGTTCCCTAATATCCTTGTTGCTATGCTCTTGCCATCAACAACACCACCACCACACACATACACAGTGGGTGAGGGTGCACAGTGCAGGGGTGGATGAGGAGGGTTTTCACGTTTGCATAAATTGAGAGCGTGTAATACAGTCCATGGAAAGTACCATGCGGCTGCAGTATTGGATGATACCTCTGTCCCTTTTTTAAATTTATGGGATTTTTGAACAAATCTCATCCCAATTTATATCTCTGTTTTAATTTGTCACTTTAAATAAAAAATTTAGAGAAATGTAATCTTTATTTTTCAAAATCCATAATTTGTCATCTCACTTTAACACTATTCAATTTTCCATCCATTTTCAATGGTATTTTAGTCATTTCATTTTAAAAAAAAAAAGAAGCGAAAAAAGATACCTCTCTCCCTATTTCCACCACCCCCACCCGTCCCCAGAACACATCGCACAAGACCCCCCCTCCCCTTCTACTCTCTCTCTGTCTCTCTCTGTCTCTCTCTTTCTCTCTGAGCATGTATAAATTTTTTTTTGGTATTAATTGAGCATGTCTAAAATTTTCAAAAATAAAAAAGAAGAAGGTGGACTCGGTTTGGGTGGGCTGAGGAAATTTGTGTGGAGGGTAGGTGTTCCATGGTAGAGAGAGAAGGATAAAGGGGAAGAGTGAAGGGGGAATGGAGGAATGGGTTTGTTTGCCCGTTTTGCGTTTACTCCTGTGATGGAATGGCAAAATTCCCCACTGCCTTGAGAACCATAGACTAGTCAACAAGTCAGCTTTCTTTGGTGTGCGTAAGTTACTGATTTC